AGGGGTAAGGGGGGGGGGTAAAAAAATTGAATTTGAAAATAAGCTTTAAATTTTTTTATTTTTTTTGGGGTGGTTGGGGGCTGGTTTGAGGGTAGGGACAAAATAAACTGATTTTTTCAACAAAAAAATAATTGTAATTTAAAGTTGGAAGAGAGTTTTGGAAAATGTTTTCCTTAAGTTATGAAGGAAAGTCATTTTCCTTAAATTTGAGGAAAATGAGTTGATTTGGAAAATATTTTCCAAAACATTTAACCCAACCAAACATAAGAAGATTGAAAAACAATTTTCTGGAAAATGTTTTCCTTCATACTAAACACACCCTTAATCGAACTCAAATATAGATATTGAATATAGGATAGAAAATAAAAAAAATAATCAAATACTCATGTAATGATGTCATATGATGATGTTGTGGGAATTGTCGTAAGGGACTTCGATTTTTATTTTTTTTTAGCTTGTTTCACTTTTTTTTCATGTCAATTTTATTGGGCTTTTGTACAGTATATGGTGGTCGTGACACGTGCAAAATTCTATTTTATCCACGGAAAGCACGAAGATAATATTTAAAATTTGGAACTAATTAGAGGAGATTTGAGTTGGATAAAATTGAAGAAAAAATCAACTTAGTGAGAAAGATGAACTATGCAGTGTACAAATAGTGTATATGAATGTATATACATCTATAATAAATAATTTTATATCAATATACACGCTTATATATTATTTATACAATATTGATACAACATAAGTGTATGTGCTAGCATAGGCTTAATATTTTTTATTTTTTTGTCTCATTTTATGTGACATAGATAAAATTTAGAGAGTCAATTAAATTTTAATATTATTTTTAAATATTTTAAGTTGGTAATTATTGTAATTTATAATACTTTTTACATAAATTTTAAGGGAAAAGGACAAATATACCCCGCGCTATCGTAAATGATATGCAAATACCTTCCGTTATATTTTTAGGACATTGGTGCCCTTGCCGTCCAAAAACTAGAGCATATATACCTTTTATATTTGTCTTTTCCCCTAATTTTTAAATAATATATGTTATTTTCCTTGTCCCAATATATGTAGCACATATAGAATTTCAAGAGTCAATCAAATATTGTTAATTACTGAGATTTACAATACTTTATACGTAGTTTCCAAACTAAATAATACATGTTACTTTTTTTTGTCCCATTTTATGTGACACTGATAGATTCATTTTATGCATCAATCAAATATTTATATATTTTTTTAAAATATTTTTAGTTGTCAATTATCATGATTTATAGTATTTTTTTAAATGTAATTCTTAAATATATATAAAAAAAAAAAGAAAAAAAGAACACAAACAAATTAAAACGAAAGAAAAAAACTGGCAGATATATATGTAAGTGTGGAAAGACACAGGTAATGCTGACATGTTGACCATCATATATATATATATTGTTAATTTTATAATTACATAACAAATCAATAAAATTAAATGGAATAGGACCAAATTCGAATAGCAACTTAAAAATACGAAAAAAACGTTGTAAAATATGCAAGATGAGAAAAGTATTGCATGGACGCGGAAATATTAATTCCAAGGAAGAAATACTCAATTGATTTTCTTCTTCTTTGCAACTTGATGCAGTCGCCCTTACGAAGAACGTGATTATTAGTGTATTCCGTGTGGAAAACATCTGAGTTAGATATTCATCATTTTCTACAAAAAAATAAATAAATAGCACTAAAGAGTACACAATTTTTTGACTATAATATTCAAAAAATAAAATAAATAATAAGAGTCAAAATTGTAGAGAGTTACGTTGTAATGTTTGATATTTACTGTTAGTGGTGAAATTGAAATGGCCATGGTGTATTGGTGTTGATGGTTACATTGAATTGAGCGCTCATATTGGACAACCTCTAATAGAAAAAAATGCCTTTAAACCACCTTTATAATTGCAAGAATATTTTTGTGCAAACAACACAACAAAAGAGAAAAATTGATTATTTGGAATAGTAGAAGTCAAATTTAACCCTTTTTCCTTGATAATACTGGAAATCTGGAAAAGAAGACCATACATATAACGATTTTTGTGAACCAACTTCGAAATCTCTTCAACATGAATATAGTAATTAACTTTATCCAATGTTTAAAAACAAATAAAAAGCATACGTCTTAATTTAGTATAAATATATAAACATTTAAGACCTATCAACTATATAAACATTAGTTTAAATCAAAGGCTTTTGATGGAAAATATTCATCGGTACTCTATATGTACACCAAATTAAACAATTTAATCGTAAGAGTCTCATAACTTAAAAACTGATATTACTTATATATGAATGATCAAGGGATAATCACATTAAATCTGTGAAAATCTCACATGACTCACCCGCATAAGCAGTGACTTGATTTTAGGTTCAAATATAATCCAGAGAACATATAAAATAATATTCATAATCTTTATTCATTTTGTGATTATAATTTTTTTTTGGGAAAAAGGATAAATATATTTTCGAACTATCGTAAATGGTATGCAAATACCCTCCGTCATACTTTTGGGACATTGGTGCCCCTGTCATCCAAAAACTAGAGCATATATACCCTTTATACTAACGGACATACACGTGTCATAATCTTATCCACCGATCCGATATTTATCGACGGGTAAAATTGCGCCACGTGTCCCTATTTAGTCTTATGTTAGCGTGAAGGGCATATATGCTCTAGTTTTTGGACGGCAGGGGCACCAATGTCCCAAAAGTATGACGGAGGGTATCTGCTTACCATTTACGATAGTACAGAGATATATTTGTCTTTTTTTCCTTTTTTTTTTGTTGATACTTTGACCATTTATTTTAAACACTAAAGGACCCATTTGTCCGTAGATATTGAATATATATTTTAGTACATTTTTGGCAAAGACTGTTCGGCCATAGA